TTCAGACTCTGCATTTTAAGAAATACTCAGGGGCCCCTTGGAAAACCATTCAGACATTAGCCAAGGCATCTCACCACTGAGAGCAGGAACTTCCACCCGCTCCCTAAGGGGCTAATAATTACGTTTGAGTCACCCATGCACACAGCCCAAGCCCCATCTGCCATTCTGGGAGGCCACCCCTCCCTTCCTGCAGCCCCACAGAGCACATGTGATACCTTGAAAGCCCCTCCTAGTCCTGTCAGAAGCCCTCCTATTCCTGTTGGGGGCGGTGGCCCTCCCACTGACCCCAAGAGCTGACTGCTCTGTACTCTCTACTCTCGGGGACTGCCCTCCTCCCACACTTCCCACGATCGGCCTGCCCCACGGGACTGCAACCACCTGCAGCATGAACCTCATAGACTCACCTTCCTCATTTAGTCATCAGTAAACAAAAATGTACTGACAAACCCTGTGTGGCACGTAATAGGCTGGCTTCTTGGGCATGCCAGAGAACCTGTCCATTTCCTATTACCCACACCTTAGTCCAGGTAAGCCACAGTTCATAGCCCTGCACTCCCCATTGCACCCCTCCCACACACAATCCATGTATTTAAAACATAAACCTGACCATGTGACTCTCATAAGCCTTTCAAGACTTCTAATTGTTCTTAAGAAAAAGACCACAACACTTACATCCGGAATGTGGGCTACTTTGCTAACACCACTGCCTTCTGACCCCCCTGCCTCCCAGCCCTGCCCCTCCCTTGCAGTCCTAGCCTGCCTGGAGCACCTCAGACCTTTAGACGTTCCGTGTGCCTGGACTAGGACATTCCACCTTCTCACTGGCACTGTGATGGAGTTTGAGGTGCACTGCTGATGGATGTCAGGTGTTCATACTCGTAAGAGGCACTGGGAGGAAGCAGGATGCGACAGAGAAAAACCGTGATGGAGGCCTGCTAGTGTTAGAGGACAGCAAATCTGAGAGGACAGGGGGGGAGGGACTCCCTTGAAGCCCCAAAAGGAGAGGGACACCCCTGAAGCCCCAAAATCTGCCTGCTCTAAGTGGGTTCTGACATCCGCCACAACCAGACAAAACATATAAAACTTTAATGAAAAGGGACTTTAATACAGTAAATATACAATATGGAACACAAAGAATATAACTTCTAAATCAAACACCTGAAGTGACCCATCCCCTCGTGGGCAAAGTCACCCAAAAGGGATTGGCCCAGAGCAAGGCCTGAAAGCTGCCACAGACTAAAGCACCTTCTGGCCGGGACCCATGGAAAAGGGTCAGAAATGGCCAGACAAGTCTGGGAGGAAAAGAGCAAAATCAGAATCAGTATAAACACTGCCATAGTCACCTCCCTACAGGTCTCTCACCCACCTCTGCCTTAACCAGTCCAGGGCCAGGAAACAAGCCCAGTTTCTTCCTCACATGCTTGCTGCTCCATGTGGCTTCCTCAGGTCTCCTCCTTCTCCATCCTGCTTCCTTCCCTTCTTCTCCCTTCTCTTCTCTCCTTTTTCTCTGCTCAGCTCCACCCTCCTTCTGGGTGGGGCAGGGAACCTGGAACTTCCCTTTTTCCTAGGGGCCACCCTGTTACACTAGGACCTTAGCCAACATGGAGCAGACCTGGAGCAAACCTTGCCCCAGAGAGCGTGGAGTCTTTGCTTAGTCCCTAAGCTAAGGCTTCTCCAGTAGGGCATGGAAGCCAGCTCAGGCAAGGCAAGTCAGTGAGGGCAGGCGACCCAGCTGGCCCTGCCAGGAGGAGGGTGACCTTTACCCTATCGACCACACCCACAGGTGTGGACCACTGTCGTTCTCACCTTGTCAGGCCTCTGAGTGGTTCGTGGGCCACATTTCCTGGGAGATGGTCAGACCTCCAAGCTATAAGCGCTTATGAAATTCCTTTTCTTCCCAGCAGTTATCAGTTTCTAATGACTTGTTTCTACATGTGATTATTTAATCGATGTCTGCCTTCTGCAAAGAAACTGTATGTTCTGTGCAGGCAGGGACTGTCTGTGACTCACTATAAACCCAGAGTTTAGCCCAGTAAAAACTTGTTAAGAAGTGAAAACAGGTACCATGTCTTATAAACATTCAACTGTCCCAGCTGTGTGGGTCATTGAGATTTTGCCAAGTATTTGAACCTCTGGTCCAGCTCACAGGGAAATGCAACCATATTTAAGTGCCTGCTCTGGCCCCACCCCCACCTGGACTAGAGGGCAGAATAAGGCAAAGTTCACCTGATTACCATGATTATCATCATCACAAATATTACCCAAAAGCCTTTTAAGGCTCAGTGCACTCATGGGCTGCTCACATTTCCAAACCCAGAGGACTGTCACGACCTGATCCCTGGGTGTGTGAGCTGCACCGCGGGGCTAGGAATCACAGTTCCTGCTCTACCACCTCAACAAGTAAGTAAATCCCTTCCTACGAAGCCTCATCTGTAAAATGGGGATAATAATGCCTTCCCTCTTTACTTCATTGGTGTCTGTCCAGTTCAAGAAAGAGCTTTGCAAACTATAAAGTGGCTCGCAAAAAAGCAAGGCAGCATCTTTCTCATGCAGTCACAGAGGTTGGTTGAGATATATTTGGGATACCAATCTGTTTTCCACAACGATGACGTGGAAGCCACATAGGTGGGCTGTGTTCTTCTCAGTTGTGCAACTGGATTTGTGCTCTTGTCTCTAAGCCTGGCCTCTCTCCCAGCTCTTGTGCCTTCTGATCAGAGGCGGAAACATCAGGAAGCAACTGACCTAGTGCTTCGCCCTTGCTGAACAGAAGGGACTGTGTTTACATCAGCGCAGGTCAAGGTTAAATGTGTTTTGGAGGTGGAGGAGAATATGTATGTAGGTAGGTGTGCGTCTCTCCAGCTGGGCAGAGCCCAAGAGAATGTTGAAAGTTTGGGTATATTAGAGAAGCAAGGTTTCTTGCGGGAGAATATTTTACCTGGAGACTAAATACTTGGCCATTGAGACAGGGACTGGGAATGAGATAGGGATACTGGTCTGGAGCTAGAAATAGTGATAAGAAGCCCAATAACTTGGCCCTCAATGAGATGAGCCAGTTTGCTAATGGAGAAATACTCAGATCTTTGGTTTCTGTGGTTCTTCCTATTCCCTTACTGGGTAATCATAATTCATTCATTCATTCATTATCCACTTAAGGTAATCAAATACATGGCATTCTCCTGACAAAGGTGAACAAGAATGACCCACGGTACTAAGTTCTAAGTTCAGCTTTTATATAGTCAACTCACTGAATTTTCTTTATAGTCTCATGAGGTAGATATGTTAACCCATTTTATAGATGGAGCAACTAGGCTTACAAAGTGTTAGAGAAAAAAACAATAGGCCCCAGATGGAGTTATTCATACCAAGGCCCACCAAGACGTAATAACTAACCTAACTCAGTCTCTCCAAAAAGTGGAATTTTACCTAAATAAACTGGAATTTCCTGGTTAGCACTAGTCAGGTATTCAGCATGATAAGACTAAGACATCCCTCCCCACACACCCTCCTCCAAGGCAGGCGAAGGTGGCTTTACCTGGACTAATCTTTCATGTCTTTTGCTAACAGCCTTGTCCCACCCTCTTTTTACTATAAAAACCTTCCATTCCGTCCAGTTCCCTGCAGCACCTGTCTGCTGTCTAGATGGCCACTTAATGAAGTCAATTAGAGCTCTACATTTATTCTGATATAATCTGTTTTTGAACACGTTTTTTGAGTAACACCCTCAAAGCCAGCCAATTGATAAGTGGCTGTATGCACCTATAATCAAACTCAGAAATACTAGTACATTCTTTCCTACACACTAGTTTTTTTTTTTTTTTTTTTTTTTAGTGCTTCCTGTTCCGTTTTCACAAATATAGTGTGTGTGTGTGTGTGTGTTTTAAGGGCAAGGGAGCCTTGAGTTGTTTTCTCCCTGAAAACATCTAGACAACAGTATTTCCAACACGGGAAGGGACCTTAGTGGTCATTTAATCCAGTTTATTTGTGGCAAATTCGAGGCCCCAAGAAGGGAAGTGACTTCTCTCACATCCTCTGTTGATTCTGATGTCTCAGTTAGACCTGGTTTCTTCTATTTCTGCTCTTGCCAGACACTGGCTCTTTGTGAACCAGGAACCTCTGCCTGGGGATAACCTCTACCAAAAATCATAGCCGCTTTGTGGTAAGCACTCATTCTCCAAGAAAGACCCTCTGAGTGCCCGCTGAGTGACAGGAACAAGAAAAAGCCAAGCCTGCCCCTTCTGGAGCTTCCAGGGTTAGAAGGGGTAGCAGCCATATACCTCAGTAAAAAGGTGTCAAGGTAACTGGACACATAACAAGATAATTACTGCTACCAGGAAGAAAAGAGAGAGAACGTGGGAGCTGCATTCAACTGAGTGGTCTGACTAGCTGATCCTTGAATTATACGGAGTCACTGAGGTCCCAACCAGGAAACCTCGGCTCGGAGGGTGAGCGTGGGCATCGATCCCACGTTCCCCACCTGTCCTTGTTTGCCGCCCCAGTCGAGGGACGCTGCGCCTGGATGATGAAACTCGGGGCGAGGACCACGCCATCTCGCAGCCTGCGTCCCTGCAGGTGTTGAGGTGGGGGACGACCAAGGGGGTGGTGGATGGATCTCCAGGGAGAAGGGCAGAGACAACCGCATTCTCCGCAGGCCAACAGGGCAGCCCCGCCCGACCCCCGGACGGACAAAGGGCCAACCCACCTCCGGGGACAGTCGGACCACCGTTCCCGCCTCCCGCCCGGCCCCGAGCGGGCCCGCGCGGGGGACGCTGGGACTTGTGGTTCAACCGGCCGCCGCACCTGCGCGGGAGCCGAGCCTGGAACTACAAGGCCCAGGGGCCCGCGAGCAGGCCGGGGGCGGGTCCCGGGCGG